AGACAGACAGACAGACAGACAGACAGACAGACAGACAGACAGACAGACAGACAGAAAGACAGACAGACAGACAGAGTGCACGTATTTGAGGGAGTTTGAAATTATAGTCCAGTGTCTGCAAGATTTGTGTGGTACATGAACGTGAAAACTGAAAAAAAAATCACATTGACCTTAATGGCAAAGTAGAAAAATTGTTGTAGCAGTTTTTCTTTATGTTTCTGTTCTTGCTAAGATAACAGTATTATGTTGTGTCTATTGCTCAGGTTGAGGTCTCAGGGCTCTGCTGATGATCCCTTTGCTCACGCCATCCGTGAAATTCTTCAACAGTACGACGCAAGAAGGAAGAAGACAAGTCCATAAGAAAAAGGCCCAGTGAGGGAGAGAGAGAGAGAGAGAGAGAGAGGCATTGCTTTTTTTGCCTCCTTGGTGTTATTTTTTGGGTTCTTTGTGGAGGTTTTGTAGTTGTTGTTGTTGTTATTGTTGTTATTGTTATTTATTATTTGTTTATTTAGCCCCTTGTTTTTTATACGGGGTGTGTGATGCTTATTCAGCTTCCATGTTGCATCTTGCCCAAATATTGCTTAAGTCACACCAGAATGTCTGTGCGACGTGTACACCGTTTATAGTGCCTCTTGGTACAAAATCAATGATTATGGTCAAAGTATTCTCGCCCAGCTGAATTCCTTTTTGTATTATTATTATTATTTGTCTTGCGATTTTTCTGTTAATTGCAAATGTACGTTGATTGTTTTCTGTACGTCTCGAATAATAGAGAAATGTGATAAATCATCAATGATAATGTGCATTTTAATCAAACAACTGGCTTTTATCCACTCAATTTTCCACCAGCTCATCTAGGTAATAATTTATATAATTGTAAGATTCATTTTTTTTTCACTATGATTGTTCTTTCTTGTCCTCATCCTCTACCCACCTAATAGTTTTGCCGCTTTTTGTTTGTTTTGTTGTCGTCTGTTGCTTTTTTAGTGATGGAAAACAGCAGGGTACAAATCGTCGCCTTTATCGTGGACCCTTCAATCATTGCATGATGGGAGATTCAGAGGAAATTGTTATTACAGTCTAGTATACTGAATTTCATTTCCAGTCACACACAACACTGAAGGTGTCACCTATGGCTATGTTTTTTACGGTCTCTTGCGGCTCTAGTTCATTTTGTCATACTTTTTTTTTATTGATCCCAGTCCATACTTTGATGTTGTCGGCCCACATTGGCCATTGTCCACCCTCAGCCGTTGTGCCTCATATCTTGCCTACGAGAATGTCTTCCTTCACAATGATCTGGGGCCGTTTTGAAATATGAATAAATAGTTGTATTTTTATAATTTTCATTTCTGTTTATCAGGGTTTGTCTTGTATGGATAATATGACACAACCCAAAATGTGCCCTTTTCTTCTTTCTTTTTTTTTTTTTTTTTTTTTGCTTTCAAGCTAATCTTGATCACTGTGCGGTAGCACCACATCTCAACCATTTTGGTTTTCATCTTTCTTAATTAAATATTTTTTCCAGTCACTATTTAATCAAAAGGAGAAATAGTTTTGACCAATTGTTTTATGGGCCATATTTTGATATGTATATGCCTGTATACGACCATTTTAATAATGAATAGCAGCTTGTATTACATGTATTATATGTATAACTATCGGACGTGTTTTATGCTGTTTGAGTTGTTTCTTGTGTGGTTTCAGCAGAAAGCGTAGAGCAAATTGGTTCAGAACTAACAAGTTTGTACCACCTCGGATTGCAGTGGTGTTTTTGTTGTGTTTTTTGGGGTTTGTTTGTGCGTTTGTTTTTGTTTGTTTGTTTGTTTGTTTTTTTGTTAATTCAGAGGAGGGAGTGAACCAGTTTGGGTTTGTTGTTGTTGTTGTTGTTGTTTTCATTTATAGAAAGCAAAGAGCGGCAGCCATGACAGTGCCTGGTCTAGAATAATATTATCATATTATTATTATCATAATTCAAGTCTGTGGGTTGAACTCTCCTGGTTCTCAACACTCAGACCATACTCGCTCTCTCCAAATCTTTATTTGCACTCCATGACTTTACTGTTTCCTATATTGTTCTCTAAGTTTTAGTTCTCTAAGTAGAGGTTTTACGCGCTCGTAACTGCATAAGTTATGAACGCCAGAATTGTTCTCTAAGATTGTGCGACCACATTCTCCTACCGTAGACATTTTGTTTGCTGTGATGTGCCAAAATTGAGAGATTGTAGACTGCACGTTTTCCTCTGTCGACGATTTTATACCCTGTGACGTCGTGAATGGCATTGCTCATCATTAGTTTTTTTCTTGCTAAAAAGTTTTGCTGGTTTTTTCTTTGGTTCACTTTTTTTTGTGTTATGTTTTTAATTTGTTTTGTGCGAATTTGGGTGGAAGTGGGG